TAAAATTAAAAAGAAAAAGAGAGGAAGAAAGAATATGGATCAATATCACGGTCAGATAATTGGCTCAAGAGAGAAGAAGATCTCAAAGGGACTTCCCACTTACACTCAGTCATAGTCTGCAATTTACACCAGTTCATTTAGTGGCCGTTCAAAGTTACAACCGCACTGAAATAAGTGACTTAGCATTTTTCACACTTACGGCCATTGCAGCCTCTCCAGGGTCACATGATCAAAATTCAGAACTTTGGCAACTGACTCACATCTATGACGGTCGCAGTGTCCCCGGGTCACGTGATCCCCTTTTGCAACCTTCGGGCAAGCAATGTCAAAATGGGAAGTCAGGTTCACTTAACCATGTCACTAACTTAACAACTGCAGTGATTCACTTAACAACTGTGGCAAGAGACTGTGGAAAATGAAAATATTGGCTATTGTTTTTTTTAATGCAAGGTTTAGGCCCAGGTGAACTAAATCAGGCCTCGTGGACAAAGCATTGAACCAAAGTCTGTGCTGTGCTGAATTTTGCAGTTTGCAATTGTACTTTACTTAATATGATTTTGCTAAGCTTGTTTCAAATATATTTAAAAAATAAAGACTGGAACAGTAAGAAGTAGGGAACTGGAAGTAGCTGATGGATGCGGGTTCCAATGTACATGGGAAACTTATGTTCAGCAGAAGGTCAGCAAAAGTCAGCAGACGGGAAAGGGAATGAATCTGATTGATTTGCCATTGGCCTATAGCTGTCTTTTGGAATGTGCTATGCAAGTGGACCTCATTGCAATGGGTTATTAATGTAAGTGACGCTGTGTTATTATGCCTGCTATGTTCCAAATTATTAGCAAAATAAACCTCTGAATCTTAAAGTAAGAATTATTGTTTTGTGTTGCTGTCTCTTGTCTTTTTCATTGGGTTTTTTTCATGACAAATGTCGTTAAAATGAGGCAAAAGTCACTTAACCCATCTCTCACTTAGTAACAATTGGGGTCAACTGTGGTCGTGAGTCGAGGATTACCTGTCAAAATCTGCTCCAGCCAGCTGTTTTTTCAGCCCCCCCCCATGTCCATGACTGACTCCCCTTATTTTACTGGGATGAAGCTCACCTTTCCTTATTTATCCTGACACCATCCAGGTGCAGGCTCAATTCACCACAGGTGTGTTTTCTCACCTGTCTTCTGGGAATTTCAGTGAAGGGCCCAGAAAGGTGGGGCAGAAGAAGAAGAATCTACAAGATGCCAAGCTAATTTTCTGCAAATCCAAGGATGGATGAGGGCATCTCAGTCAGTTCTTGAAAACTCTGGCAACCACGAGTTCTGAGGTATCACATCAAACACGCTTCAGCAATTATTTCTGGCTGATGGCCAGCAGCCCATGCCCTCATTAATCCTTAAATTAAGCTGAGGCGTGAACGCAACAATCACAAGAGTTAACTCTGCTGAAAACAGCTAGGGTATTAAATTAATAGCGCTCTAACCTCCCCTCCAGATAATAACAGATAATTGAGGTTGATTTTTTTTTAATAGTACGCAGCATAATGAAATCAAGAAGACTAATTAAAGAAAAAGGAGAAGAAAACTAGGGGTGAATGGACAATCCTTTCAAAAGAACAACATCATACAGCAGGGGTCTTCAAACTTAGCCCTTTTATGACTTGTGGACTTCAACTCCCAGAATTCCTCAGCCAGGCACACGTGCCTGGCTGAGGAATTCTGGGAGTTGAAGTCCACAAGTCATAAAAGGGCCAAGTTTGAAGACCCCTGTCATACGGAATGTCTATTTTGCACATGCTGAAGATAGTATCAAAAAAGTATTTTGGGACCTGGAGCTGAAATCCTCAAGAAGGTGATTTAACATTAATACTCAAATAATCCTTAACAGGGACCATTTGCAATTCTTCCCCCGCAGAGATTAGTGTAATATTTCAGTTAATAAAATAATGAGACTTCATTATGCTCCACAAGCCTTTTTCTTTTTTTAAAAAAAATTAAACTTCAGTGGAATGATTGTACTTCAAACTGCATTTGAGTTGCCAAAATTCTGCAAAATGAACGCCATAATTAAAGTAATTGGGTAATCCATCAGTGTGATCGTTCTTAATATGCTTGAGTGAATCTGAAAGAATTGGGTGGATGGGGAAAAGGGGCAGGATAGGAGAAAAAAACCTTGCAATACACCACCATCTCATTGCAGATGGAATTACTGTATAAGAGAGTTAGAAGAATAATCTCTCCATCTGGGTACCAAAGAGAATAAAGGAGACATGCAAAATTTGGGGAGATGCAAAATTTTGATTTGACCCCTGATTCTTTGGAATTGCTTCTTCTTCTGCTGAGGGGCAACAGGTTAATTTTTTAGAGATCGTTTAATAGATCACAATGGAAAAAGCTTTATTGTGGAGATCCTTCAGTTCTAATTTAACGTGGCATTTTTCCTATTCATCGGCCCCAGACAGTCCTCATTTAGCAACTGCCTTGTACAGTGACCAATGATGAAAAAATAACTTTGCAAACTTTGCAGAAAAAAATGGAAATCTCAAGTCAGATCAGCCATTCCCTCACTCGGTTGTTAAGTTTCAAAGGGGCCACTCACAGTTTCACAGAGCGACCGCTTTGCTTAATAACCGAGTTGGTGCATGCAATAAATGTTTGATACTAACCGTTTGGAATTTCAAGTTTTTTCACAGCTATGATATAAAACAAAGACTTTTACTTTTAAAAAAGAAATTACAGGAGCTAACAAGTAAGAATTACAAAGATATTCTTTGTATTTGCTGGTTTTTGCTGTCCAAAAAAACAGATCTGACAGATCATATAGCTCTGAGCAAACAGAGTTTATTTGTCTTGCTTCTTTTTTTAACCGTTAGCTTTCTATTTTTAAAAGATGAATTCCCACACAAGCTTAGAAGGTCGTGGTCCCATAACAGAGGCGGTAACTAGAAGCAACACCATTAGCTGTAATGAAATGATTCTGACCTTTGGCGTATTTATTTTGTAGTACTAGTTTTATAATTAGCCCAGTTAGAGTCTTGTCTCCTTTGCAGTCACCGAGCAGACAGTGTAAAAATAGAATCTTCGGGCACAAAAATAATGCTTAAAGACCTACTTTGTGTTTTTTTTTAAAAATGCATTATAACTGCTCTGAAGATCCTTCTTTTGCTTTTGCTTTTATTTCTCTCTACATTCACGTAGAGCAATGTTTCTCAAGGTCAGCAGCTTTAAGATGTGTAAACTCCCAGAATCCCCCAGCCAGCCTGGATCCACACTTAAAGGTTTTTGAGGTGGGGCTGTAGGAGATGACAACACAGGTGGTGTTGTACTGGTGTGGGCTTAGAAAGTGTGAGTTTTGTTTCTGAAGCGTGTTGAAGGAACTTTGGTGTTAGAAGTTCACACTGCAGTGTCCTAAAAAGAGCAAAGTGGACTTTCTGAACTGTATTTTTCTCTCTCCTGTAGAAAGAGCCACAGACACCATAAAAGCTCACTTGGTGAGCCTTTTTTCTCCTTTTCCTAATGGAAAACTTTCCCAAGATCTTTTTCATGCCCCAAAAGAATCATTAGAGTATTTTTATTTTTATAAATATGTCTTGGAAAAATTGCCATCCTGAAAGACCACAAACAATGTAAATTGTGGCTACAGTTGATGGAAGATATCTTCATTAAACTGGCCATTTGTGGTGCTCCTTCCTCACATTCCTGGGACGGGCATTCCAGGGAATAAAAGGTTGGCCACAAACCAAATTCAAAACAATTTGATCCGAAGGATGTAAATTGCCTTTTCATTTTGGGGAAAGGGATCTATAACTTTAGAGGAGTAAGAGATTTCTGAAGAGATTTTATTGTGTTTATGATTTTAGGATGTTTAAGCTTGACACTAGCGCAGGGGTAGGCAACCTTGGCTCTTTTATGACTGGTGGACTTCAACTCCCAGAATTCCTGAGCCAGCATGGCTGGCTCAGGAATTCTGGGAGTTGAAGTCCACAAATCATAAAAGAGCCAAGGTTGCCTACCCCTGCGTGACTAGCAGCTATTATATATATATAATAGCTGCTAGGGTCAAGCTTAAACATACTAACAGAATAAAATCCCTTCATTTCAAAAGGATGGCCGTGTCAACATTGAGCTGCTTTGATGCCCTTCAATCAGTGACGCTTGTGGAGAGGGGGAAAAAGTGTTTTTATGGCCTGCTCTGGCCTTGATGTGACAGCCACATTCCCTCTTTCGTGCCGTTTCTGAAGCTTGGAGAAATTTTACCTCAGTTCCACGTTTCCTGTCAGACGTGAACAGTCAAGAAGCGTTGAGAGATGCTAACCTTTGTTCATCCCGAGGGAGCTGCAACGAAAGATCGTTTGATTAGCCAAATACGGCCTCTAAATTCCTTAAAATGATGGGTTTGTCTGTACAGGTAGTCCTCGAATTACGGCCACAATTGAGCTCAAAGTTTCTGTTGCTAAGTGAGACGTTTGTGAGGTGAATTTTGCCCCATTTTACAACCTTCCTCACCTCGGATGTTTAGTGAACCCCTGCAGTTGTTAAGTTAGTGACATGGTTGTGGCTTCCCCACTGACTTTGCTTGTCAGAAGGTCACAAAAGGGGGATCACCTGACCCCCCCGGGACACTGCAACCGTCATAAGTACAACTCAGTTGCCAAGCGTCCGACTTTTGATCATGTGACCTGGGGATGCTGCAACGGTCGTATCAAAATGGTCACTTTGGACGGTCACTAAATGAACTGTGGTAAGTCAAGGGTTCCCTGTATTAATAGATTGGTAACTGGCCACTTACTCACATAGTTTCAGTGCAGGAAGGCTTACATTTCTACTTGCAGGGAGCAAATTCTGAGTCGGGAAATAAGAGGAAAGCCAAGTCGGGCAGAGTCTGAGTCCTTTTGCAGGCCGTTGTTACTTTTGACCCTTTTAAGCTGTTGAAATCACTGTGTGAGTTTGTGGTCCTTTGGACAGCTGGAGTCCAGCGTTGTTATTCACCCACCTCTTTGCCACTTTCTTTAGGAGTGTCCCAGTGGGATTGTTAATGAAGAGGCCTTCAAAGTGATTTACTCTCAGTTCTTCCCACAGGGAGGTGAGTCCTTCCAGATAAGTAGTCCTGTTTGCATGTACTCCACCCTTACCTCTCCCTGCTTTAACCTCCAGGGTGGGGGCCAGGGGAATTCAGTCGCTTCTCCCTCTCTGAAGGGGGGCTGGAGATACGCTTGGGGTTGTGTTTGTTCCTGGGTGCCTTCCCTCTGGGCCACAGGCTAGCCGGGGTTCAGGACTATGCTGCCTTTTGTTCCAGATTGCTTTCTGTGCCAGGTTAGCTCAAAGGGGGGGGAGGAGCAGGAGGAGGAGGAAGGAGAAAGGAGAAGAAGGAGGAGGAAGGAGGAGAGGGAAAAGAAGGAGAGGGAGAAGAAAAAGGAGGAGGAAGGAGGAGGAAAGAGAAGAAAAAGAAGGTGGAGGAGGAGGAAGAGGAGGGAGGAGAAGGAGGAGGAGAAGAAAAAGGAGGAGGAGAGGAGGAGCAAGGAAGAGAGAGAAGAAAAAGAAGGTGGTGGAGAAGGAGGAGGAAGGAGAAGAGGGAAAAGAAGGAGGAGAGGGAGAAGAAAAAGGAGGAGGAGGAGAGGAGGAGGAGGAGGAGATAGAAGAAAAAGAAGGTGGAGGAGG